GTAGGGAGAACCAAAATTGCTATACTGGAACTAAGCACTGGAACATTTCAAAATACAATATTTACAAGAAAGGAAGGAATGAACAGGCAGCGTTGTTTTAAAGCTGATGGCACCAAGATATAACTCAATTCATATTCAGGCATGATCTCAAAGGTAAATACTTACAGATTTGGCCACTGAGAACAAAATTCATGTTGACAGCAGTTGAACTGAGCAGTTTACAGCTGGAAAGAAAAAGTTCTTTTGAGACTGTGCCTTTCAGAGTTTTCTTTCAGCCAGGAGAAGTCATTGTCAGGAGAAAAGAGTAAGTAGAGAAGTTTGAATTGCACCTAAACCTGGGAGGTTCCTATCCTCCCATTGCTGCTGGAACTTGACATTTAGTGAGCATGCTCCAAAGAACATTACTCTAATTAGTCTGAGCATACTTATTAATTATCCAGAACAGGGTAATCTGGCTTCAGTGTGGGCCGTATGTTTCCTCACTGGTGTTAGATTGCAAAAGTCTCAATGTTTTATTTGCTGTGTTTGATGTATTGCATGTCTCTGCTTCATGATACCAGAGTGTAAGGTAAAACTTTTGCCCTGTGGCTTTGGTTAATTTATATAAGTAGTCTTCGTGACAAGAATTTGATGTTTCTTTATGCCCAAACCCTAGAGCTTTTGTGCCTTTTTTATAATCCTGTTGATTTACATCTATATTCAGTTTTCCCTTACCATACAGATCTTTTAAGCTTTTACTCAGACCCTAAGAAAAAAGACATTATAGATCTGATTTCCAGTTGCCTTAAAGTTGCTTTACACCATACCAGCAGTAAAGAGATCATAAAGTGAGTGCAAATACAAAATATAATCTACATTTGATTGGTAAGAAAACTGTGCTGCTCAGAACCTGAAAACAGAGATCTTGTGCTGAGCTGAGCATGCTAGGCTACCAGGTGTGCTCAGATCTTTGTTCAGCACCTTCCTATGTTTTCAGGGTTTGAGACCAGAAAGAAACTAGATTATACAGTTTGATTCTGTGTAATGTGGTATTAAAACTTGACCCAGGAAACTCTGCATTAAGTCAGACAACTTGTGTTGGACTAGCACACCTGTGCCTTATGGGTCCTAGGCTGCATGCTGGTTGCCAGGACAGTTCAACTGTGTGCAGCTCTTTCCTTTTTGTCTTTTACAATGGACTTTCAGTAGCAGGTTGAGGGCTGGATGAATTGCTATGATGGTAGCAGCCCATATCTTTTTTTTAAAACTGTGGATGTACAAAATAAAATGGAGCTCTATTCCACTTTCAGAGGTAAAGTTACTTCTTTCCTTTTATTCATAGTTTCCTTGTTTATACATTTAGGGATCACTCTATCAATCTTTTTGTTTTGCACAGCAGCTCACTGGGAGCTGATGTTCAGTTTCTTGTTCAGTATGACTATCTAGTTTTTTTCAGAACTATTCCTTCTAGGTTATGATTCCCTATTGTGTAGGTATAACCTGCACTCTGAGTTGTTTGTATGATCTTCAGGTGTATTAAAGCACAACTTTGGACCCAGCTTATCCAGAAATTTACCACATTATCTGATTGCCCTGTTGTCATTATGTACAGCTCTAGCAATCTTTGTCATCCCCAAGTTTTACCAATTATAACTTTATATTTGCAGGGAGGCAACTGCTGATAGTGTTGATGATGCTATAGAACTGCATGAAGGATGTCCAACCAATGGTGATTCCTTGTCAACAAACAGATCTTTGAGATCTGTCATTTAGCCAATTCTTAATACCCTGTATGCTCTAGTAATATTGTGTAAAGCTAACTTTACACTGCGGGGCTGTGCCCCCAAAATGTACTGCTGTTGCCCTGTTATTTGACACTGCTTCTCTGCCTCATGCATCAAGCAAAGCATAAAGCAGAGAAGAACAGAAATAGAAGTGAACAGAACAAGACTGGCTATCATCATTCATGCAATAGGACTTTACAGATCATATTTAGAAAGGACAAAATCCACAACAATGACAGGTCACAGCTCGTCAGAAGTAATCACATCAAAACAGCAGATCTTAATAAAAGCCCAGCATGCTGGAGAGATGTGTTTATTAGAAAGTGACTAGAGCATTGTACATGCTCACCCATACACGAGAAGGGGTATATCTACAGTGCAAGCCATTGCCCAGGGCTGCAAAATATTCGGTAGCTCTATGAGTGAATGTGACTTGGTAGGGACAGACTTTTGCTGGTTTGCCTAGGGCAGCAGAACCCATAGAGCTGGCCTTGAACACAGTGCACTAGTCACTCTCCTGTGACCTACTAGGGAATAAAGAAAATACATTACAGTGTAATAACCAGAGACAGCAGTTTGCTGAAACCGGTAAGGTCTGCCACTCTGCTGCAATAAGTTGTAAGTGCATTTAAGAAGTTAGAGCCCAGAGTCATAGGCTGTTCCTATATTTACCAGCTGGGAACCTGTCCTCCTTTCAAGGGATTCGTACACTAATGTAGCCAAAAAGAGCAAGAATCCTTCTGAGTAGCAGCAGTCCACTTGGGTGTCTTCCTGGACTCATGTCAAAACATGAACCAAGATGTTTTGTGGTTAAAGAGGTTTCAAGAGGCTTCCAATTCATTCTTATTTTGGCAGTTTGATTATTACTTTCCTGTGCAGAAAGTTTTACCATCTCACTTTGCACAAATACCACTTTTGGAATCTGCATTCGTACGAATAAAAGCAGGTCCAGTGAAGGCATAATGAGTCAGGTTACAGAATTTGGCTATGAATTTTTAATAGTAAGTTCACTAGTAATTTTTTTCTTGCGGAGTCTGCTATTGGACACTTCAAGGAAGACAAATAATTTTGGCACCTTAGATAAGATAACTGTGTAAGATGTTCCAAGTTCAATACCGAATTCCCAAGATGCCTAAAATCATACATAGGTTTGAAAAAAGTCTTTCTCTGCTGTTTTATGAGTACTTATACTGCTGGGAATATTCTGAAGCATCTTCCTAATTAAAACTAAACTAATGCTACTCAATAGATGCTTTGCATTTGTTTTTTTTATTAATTTTTTTACAGGGTTTGTTTACTTAATCCTAATTTGCAAAATTCACTCTGTACTTCTCAGCGATTTTTATGATTGAGTCCAAACACAGCCTACTAACACCCCGGGAGATGGTATGGGTTTTGTTGTTTGGGGTTTTTTGAGGAGTTTTTTCTTGAACATGTGATGTGATCAACTTGCGTAACAGACAATCTGGAGCAAGAGCCTGGAGCCAGCTGCAAACACTGGTACCAGCTTTTGGATCCCACAGGTACCTTCAGTAACACAGAGCCAACGGTAAAAAAATAGTATCAGACAGTTCTCTCTCTCCATTTCTAGTTTCTTTTCCCTCCAACTTTTGTGTGCTTGGCTTTGTGTGGGATGCAATGGTCAATGGCAATGCATTCCCCAGCAGAGAACCCGACTGTAAAGATAAGTTTATCACGAAAGATGGTTCAGTGGTCGCAATGCTGAGGCAGTCTGTGGGAACCCAGCTCCATTCTGCTGAATACTACTTTGTGGTTGGTATTCAACACCTTAGTATCTTTGTTGCCCTGTGGAAGTGAGTATGCGTCTCACCTGACTACAGTGAGCTGGCAAGGCAGTGTTCCAGGCTAGCTCTATATCAGTTAAGTGGCCAGATTAAGTGAGTCAAATCCAGGCCTGTCTTGGTTCCTCATTGTTAAAAATGGACATAATACTACTTTACTAGTATACTGTAAAATCAATACTTTATGAGGTTTGACTAGCATAGGGAATCATAAATTCCTGAGTTAGACTTCTAAAGATGTAATGCCTTGGACTGATAAGAAAACACATCTCCAGCCTGTATACTGGGGGGAAGAGAGGGAAGGGGGAGCCAACCTGTAAACAGCAACAGCTCCAGTAACTCCTTCAGTCCTTTAATTAACACTTCCAGTCTCCGAAGCCCAGCTTTGGTGGCTGTTTAACTCTAGTCTGGAGGGACTGAGATTCTGACTGTTGAACCGTAGGGATTTGCTTGAAAAACAGTCACAATAGCAGAAGAAAAAACCATCTGAGAGCAGTGACATAGTGTCATATCAGTATCATCATGGGTTCAGCTATACACTGAGTCAATTGACAAGCTTGCTAATGCAGAGTGCGAGATTAATTGGCTTTGGTCAGCCTTTGCTTCACTATCTGAATATCATTATCAGGAATGTAAATGATTATGCAATGCAGAGAAATGCCACAATAGTCTCAGTGTCTCCTTTTATACTTGTCTCTTTTTAAACAGGGCTTTATCTAAATGCAAATGTGATTTCAGCCTTCTGATTAGGACATTATACAGTCATCCATTCCAGAAAAGCACAATTAGCACTTATTTTATTTCTGACTCAACAGTTCTCGGTTTAGATAGTTTGTTTGTTGTGCTATGCATGATATTTAAGTTATCAGAAGGAGATTTACATTATTAGTCAGGATTACAGCCAGATTTTGTGAGGTCGAGGGTTTTTTCTTGGCAGATAAAAATGGTAACATTTGTGGGATTTGAGGGGGGGTGTTTTTAGAACAAAAGGCAATAGTGCATATTCTTACTATGCTTCATTGTCCTTTTTGTGCCAAGTAAGGGGGCAAATTAGAGTAGTAACTATGCAAATTCTCCAATGTCGTGGGGTGTACAAGTGCAGAGTTTAGCCTTACTTGTTTGCAGGATCTACTCACTGACTTGTACTCATACAGTGCCCCAGTATCTTAGAACTTAATAGTGGGTCAGGTCATAAGATTATTTCTCACTAAACAGCCATTTTACCAAAATAGCCATCAAGTTTTCCATGTGCTATGGTAGATTTCCAGTGAAGTTTTCACCAGAAATGATACTGCAAACACTGAAGTTACACGCTCAGAAAAATACAGATCTTTAGTGATAAACTTCCCTATGACACTTACCCATGTCACAAAATTTGTAGCATTTTTGCAGCTATGAATCTGTCAGAACTCAGGATATGTTTTTTTTCTTTCAGTATGGGAACCTCGTACAGTATACGTTTGATAACTAGACCTGGTGAAAACTTCAATCTTCAAGTCAATTAGAAAGTCCAGTATTTGTGTTAAGGTAAAGGATTTTTTTTCTGAAATTCATCAGTGTAAATGTATTTGTCACATGATTTGGATTCAACAGCTCATCATTTTCCTATGAAAAATTACTGCAGTGGAAAATTCCTAATTATCTACAGTGAAACAACATTTTCAATTCCATTGATCAGTTTAATCCTGCCATATTCATATGTTTACGTGACTCTGGTTTCTTGCTCTCTCCCATAGCTTATTTTCTTTATGCTGAAGCAAGCTGTCCTATACATTCCCAACACATGAGGGATCTTTGCTTTTGTGACAGGAAATCTATTGCACCACTTAGGTTTAATTAGAGCACAATGACATACGATGAGTTTACACATCAAAGCCTAGAAACAACACAACAAATTGGCTCTAGTCCCAAAGTGTATTTTGGGATCTGTATTGAATTGGGATGTTTCACTGTATTTAGTGGGAATATGTGAAATACAGGGTCAGGTTCTTAGGGTCAGTGGAACTATACCAATTCTTACCAGCTAAGGATCTAGCCCAAAAAAACTCTGTGTAAAGTTAAATTTAGGTTCAGATGAACTTTAATCCAACTGCATACTCTAGATTTCTGTACTGGATGATAAAAAAGCATTCCTATGGGTTCTGTGTAAGTAACAAGTTGAATCCTATGCCCAGTTCTAATTTGCACTGAGTTCAGAGAGTTGAGTATAGACCCAGGACATATTTTAATCTGCCACATAGTGGAGTGAGGGGTTAGCTTACATCTAGGTGCACAGATGGTCTTTATATTCTGTTCATTTGCCACACTACTTATGTGTTGGTAAGTCACAGTAAGTGATTACAGTGCCCTATCACTTACGTAAATGAAGCTCTTCATCTCATATCTTTAACATGTATGTGGATTTATCATTTCAAGAAGAATGACTTACTACTGTAGCAATTTTTTCCTTCCATAAATGCTTTTCATTAAATAAGGGAATTGCGATGTTTCAGATACAATTTTTTTTTCTTATTTTATTTCAGGAAAGCTTACTTTGCGATATAGTATCCAGATCCCAAGTTTTGTCTACACTCGGGGTTATGGAATGGGTCCATTTTTGTCTTAGTGTTCTTAATCTACATTTGTGCATATTACATGAAAGATAAAAAAACCCTCTCTTCTGTATGGAGAATGCAAAAATGATGATGATGGCAAAAGCAATTTAAGCTGGGATTTTTATAGAGTTCATCCCTTTTCAAATATCCGCTTTTCCTGTGGTTATTGGACTGCTTTAGTATTTTGAGACACTGTACTCACAGGAGACTAGACTGTTTTAAGAACAAAAGTGCCATGTATTCCAAGTGTGGCATTTAGTCTAACTGTATAGTAATGATGCATGCCCAGCCTTTGCATTAGTCTGGCGAGGCAGCGTGTCTCAAGCATTCACCTTCAAGGCACAGTTTTTTCCTCATGGACCATTTCTGTAACATGTGGCAGGCCTTTGTCCTCTGACCATGTTAGCATTGCTCCCCATGTCAAGTCATGAGCTGTGGGGCACAGCAAAGAGGTCAGATGGCTTCAGATATTCTTATATGTGAATTGCCCAACTCAACATGTAGCCATTTGGGTTCTAAACAAAAAACTAGCTGTATTAAAGCTTGTCTTTCAGAGTTGTAGAATATGTACAACTGCCACTGAAAGAAGGAGAAAAGGAAAACACTGGTTGGAGCCAAAGATAGCCTGTGTGAAGCTGGTCTAGTCAGTTAATTTCTGTGCCTCATTTCCTATTGATGAGAGCAGTCTACAGTCTCAGAGTGGTGTTCTCGTGTCTATATCAGACACTGGGAGACACTCAGGATATGGTAATAGAAGATTCAGAAATATATAAAAAAGCTAGATAGATGTCTGCTGGTGCAACACCTCTAAATAGTAATCCTTAAGCTTCAGTAATTTTTTGTAACAGACTCTAGAAGGCGCTTTATTCTTTAGAAAAGTGACTTGATTAATCAGGCTTTAAATGACTGACAGATAAAGCACCTTGACAATTACTGGGCCATTAACATGGCTTTTTTTTTATTATGGCATGCCTTGTAGCTGTTTTGTTTTTCATTTTTCTTTTTATAACTGTATCTGTTCAGGCAGTTCTTGTTCAAATATATTGGTAAAACAGAGAAATACAGAGTTAGATACACAGAGGACATCCAAACTTTACTGAAAAGGTCTTGCTTCCCCTGTGTAATTTCATATGGTAAAAAAATTCAAGGCTACCAAAGAAAGGCAACATGTATGTTACTGTATTTTTTAACTACTTGTTATAAAAGAAAAGTAAATCTAGATATTGATCAAAAAATAAAATAAAATCCTTACATCCCAGTTCCTCTGAAAAAGACAAACATTGGCATCTCCTTCTAAAATTGAATATTGTTGGGACGGAATCCCTTGAACTATCAGTATGTGTCAGGAATATTACTCAGTCTACATATATCATTCTCAGTTTTGTCACCTGCAGTACTAAATGCCAGGGGAAAACTGAAGGAGGGGATTTAGCATGATGTTTGTATAGTAAGTGTTTCTTACAACGTATGGTATAAATTCGCAACCCCAAAATACTTAATTAAAAAGGTAATACCAGTTGAAGGCTCAAAGTTTAATTTAAATAGTAGGGGAGAAAGAGCCAGGTGTCAGGTGAAACTAAATATCCTAAACAGGAAAGCAAAAGCAAAGGCATTTGCATAACAAACAAGACAATTTTCAAAGTTTCATTTGTGTTCTCACTGACACGTAGTAGGGATATACAGAGATATCACTGAACTGAGTGCTAGGAAGAAACTGAAGGAGGGTACCAGAATCTATTTTGAAAGTCCATTTGTATTAGAAGGGTTCCTAAGAAAACAACTTTAGAAGAGAAGTCAAGGAAAGAAGTTAGTGCTGAGAGAAATGTCAAGGGTGGAATGAAAGGTGTTTGCTGGAAATATGCCCTCAGTGCTCTCTGCTGGAAGAGAAGCCCTAGGATTGAACCCCGTGTTGCAGTTAGAAAAATAACATGTACATATACCTGCTTGAGGTACCTGTTGAGGCCTTCAACACTTGGGAAGTAAGTCAGATGAGGTGTTATGCCATGAGGTGTCCAGTATGCCAAAACAAAACTGAGAGCCACTCTGAAACAAACTCTTATTTTATTTGATATTATATTATATATTATTGCCCCATCATTGAAAGTGTTCAAAGCCCCATCTGACCTGATGGGGCTTTGAGCAACCTGATCTATTGAAAGATGTCCCTGCCCATAGCAAGGGGGTTGCACTAGATGATATTTAAAGGTCCCTTCCAAGCCAAACCATTCTATGATTATATTTCTATTTTCAAAATAGGACACAGACTTGGAATCATCCTACCTAATTTAGGCTTGTAACTGCAGGATCTATATTATAATTCTTGTTTTGCTACTCCTGTGTTCAATGGAGAGAAGGACAGGGAGTAATTCAGTCTATATATCATTCGAGTCACATTTTGGAGTTGCTTATCTTTCTACTGGTTGGAGGGGGGAATGCAGGGATCTCTCTACTGACTGTTGAGAGTATAATCACCTCCTGTACTCAGATGCCAAAGTGAAATGAATCCAAACCAAAAAATGCATGGAGCTGATGCCCAGCATAGGTTTCATTGCAAAAAGAAATTATATTTTAGAGAAAGATTGGAAGAAAACAAGAGATGAACATTTTGAAGTCTGGGGATATTCTGATCTGTATTTTAAGCTGAACTTTTTAGGTAAAGCCATAATTAGCACATCCTGTGCACTTGGAAAGTGTGCTAGCAATTGGACCAGTCAGACTGAAGCCATTTTGAAAAGTCAGCTCTTGGTCTATATTTCTGAATTTTTGTAACATCTTTCTGCCCTACATATTTTTTTGGACAGTATCCAATTCCTGTAGTGCGTGAGGCCAAATGGCTTTTATTAAACAAATAAGAAAAAACAGAACTGGAATCAAACAAGCAGAATGAAAAGATTGCAGCAGTAGTACAGAGCCAACTTACTGCCCTCATGATGGAAGAATGGTTTTCTAATTGTTCGTGAAAGCTAATGGAAACCATATTTTGGCTGTGAATAATTCTCAGGAGGGATCACTTTGATTGTGAAGTCTTACCTCATCTCGTACTTTACTGATAGAACATATCAAGTATTCAAAAGCAGACACACCCCATGAAGCTTGAAGTGCAGAAAACCACTGGTCAGTTTTAGATACTAGAGAAAGATGGAATTCTTCAGGCATGAGTGAGCTTTACTGGCACATCGCTGACCTGTCAGAGGCTGGTGCAGATTTATCTTCCTTATGGCATGTCAGTTGTGGGAGGAGTAGTTAACTGGCGGAGGGTAAAGGTTATGATGACAGAATCCAGGAGCCAACTAATTAAGATTTTCTTGCCCACAAGACATCATGATATCGTACTCAACAGTGTTGAGAGAAGGGGGTGTTTGAAAACTTGCTCCAGTCAACATCATGTACTTCTGAGTTACCTGTAACTAAAAATCAGAAATGCCACTTTTTGCATTTTGTCTATGGAATCTTTCCTAAATGTTATACCATTTCAGTCCCTAAGATCTTTATTCCAGTCTTTAGTAATAACTTTGGTTTGATTGTTACCTTAAATGTTAAATTTTGTCTTTCCATGATGTATATTAGTCCATTTTGCACTGGATGGGGCATTACCAGCACAATACAAAACACAGGATTTCCAATTGCCGTATTTGACATTGGCATCACCCATTTATCCATCTTGGGAATGGTCTTTGTCTACTTTTCTTTCCAAGATCCCCTGAATAGGTAGTCATTAACCTATGATTAATTAAGGAAGTGACCAAGCTGAATCTTTTGCAGGTAGTTGACAAACTGTGATGTATTAGCTCCAGTGGAAAGTCATCACAGCCATTATAGTGGTGTTTACAGAGCTTGGGGTCCAACAGCCTTTTTTTGGTTGGTTAGGTTTTTTTTATAATGTTAATAACAGAATCGGGGTAAACAGCACCATACACAGATCCTTCAGCTCATTGCAATCACAAAAATGTGGCATATTGGTTATGAAGGTCAAATTGGGATCTTGGTAGCTTTTATGGGTATTTTTCACTAGGGAGTCAGTTACTGTGATCAGCATTTGTTTTGGTACCGTTTGTCGTAAATCTATATACTCTAATACTTTGGGGAAAGGGCTTTGCTTGTTGAAAGCGTTGCTAAAGTGATTTTGAATAAAGTCACAACTGAACTACAGAGAACCCATTTCAGGGTAAGGAAAGATGTTGGTATAAATAAGCAGGAAAGGGATCCTGACATGTTCTTCAAAGGTTTATGCCTATTAAGCCTGTTGTATATCTTAGAATTAGTTTTAATAATTTACATCATCAGCTCATGAGATAGCAACCATGTTAAGTACTTCCTTAAGACAGTCATCTCTTTCCTTACCC